TTTCGTAATATAATATTTATATTCATATATCTCATATTCAATATACTTTCTATGATATATGTTGCTTGGATTTGTTCATACTCGGTTGCACGTAGTCAACGCCACAGTTGAGATTTAATTAGATTACGCTCTCCATGATTGGCCAGTGTTTTTGTTAATAATTCGTTAATAAAACACATAACGAAAGTTTTTACAAAGATAAAATGTTTGAAATTATTTGAGGAATCTTCAATTTATAGATATTTTAGCATAATTAATTTTAATTAATTTAACATAATTATGTTTAGCATNGAAAACGAATATTCAAGGGGCGTGTCAAGATGACTGCTGATTGGCCCATAAGTAATACAATTCTATCAACTTAACATGAATGAAAATTATCATATATATTATATAATAAGGGAAAAATTTAAAAATTCTTAATAGAATAATAAATATTTTAATTAATTATTGAAATAAATTAATTAAATGAAAATTAATAAGTTTATTATATATAATATATTTAATTGTTAAGTGTATAAACAATTGCTATTTATAAAAGGTTTCAATTAAATTTATCATTTTAAAATATTTATTGATTAAATATTTATAAAAATAGCATAATTTTGTAAAGATCAATATATTTTAACAATATTTTTATTCTGTTCAAGAATATTAATGTGATAATAAGTTTGATAGTAAATAATTCAGTTAGAAAAAAAGAAAGATGACATTAAATTGGTACCAAATAGACATTAAATTTTTTACAAGAAATAGGAAATCGTTTCCACTTATGTCGACTTTAAACGATAAATATTTATAAATATGGGCTATGTATGAGAATATATAAATCAAATTGAAGCAAAAATAATGGAGAAATATGATATTATTTATAAATAAAAGATATGATAAGCATGCTACTTCTTCATTCATCGATACGATGCTATATGATATTTGTAAATTTTAAAATTTTAGTCAATATATGTTTCCTATTTTTATTTTGATTATATTCGGTCTATCAAAAATAATTAATTAAATTCGCATTCTTTTTAAAATTTTTTATTAAATATATTCAATATGT